CATCACTAAATCTCCTCATGTATCCACAGTAAGCCTGTTCAGGATATACTGAACAACAGAGATCCTGATGTGCTACTTACTCCAGTAGTGAGCTCCTTCCCTCATGAGGACTAATCCCAGGCTTTTAACCTCCATTTCCTACTTTCTAATCTATTATTTTTTCATGGAAGGACTTCTTTGCTAAAGTTCCCCCTAACTTCTTTAAAACACACTGGTGAGGATCTGCGGCCAAAAACTCTTGACACAGAATCCTTCTCCAAAGTCCCCACCCACTGTCTGTTGCCCAAAAAGCCACTTCAACCAAGAGGATTCCCCCAAAGGCAGTGGCTTGCATCAATAAAAATACACCAGATGTGTGTCATTAGAAGACCTGTACAAGGTGTATCACTGTTCTCTGCAACAACAACAAAATTAGTGTCTTCTAGTCTCTGACAGTCTCCCAGGGTGAGATTTTTGTACAAAAATCTTCCCTTTATTGTTTATTGTTTTTGCAAGAAGTTTGCCAGTGGATATCACAGAACCTTTTCATCATGTCTGAGAGACCCCACATCCAGCTGGAAGCTGACAAGTCCAGAACCCCAGAAACACAGAATTGACACTGCACAGGCCAAGGGCAGGTTGGTGCTGAGGGATTGCTTTTGGAAAAAATTATTTATTAATAGTGACACAAACAGTCTGAATTAGAAGAAAATGCCATGGAAGACAACCTATACCCTTTCAAGGTCTATAAGGTACCTAAATGAAACTTTATCCTTAAGCTGGTTTTGGTAGCTTCAGAGAGACTTGTATGTGGTCATAAGATACACATATCCAGTTTACATTTTTCTGGAAAAATACCCAAATAAATCAAAGGCCATCAGCTTTCCCTCTCCTTATCATACAAATAAATCAAAAGCATGAGGACTATTAAATGAATTAATAAATATGTTAACATTCTTATTAAATGTATTAATATTGTTATATGTTGTCTTTCTGATTACAGCACACCACGATAGCTTTTATTCAAAGGAAACTTCTTCATGGAAGCCAGTCACAAAGAGCACCAAAACCTTCAGTGAATACACAGCCAGTATCTTTCCAGAATAGATTTCTTTTGTGCTAAATATTACTATTCTTATGTTCAAAAAAACCCCACAACGTTAAACCTTCATTTCTAAAGCAGGAGTATTATTGCAAGGTAACAGCAACAATTACTCTTGACAATTTGGATATCATACAGGAAGACCTCGTTTCCTGAACAACCCAAGAACCACCTCAGGACTTGAACTAAAAATGGAATGACTGAGTTAATTGCGGGTCAGTCAAAAACTGACCTTTCCAGACTGGGTAACAGTTGATCATTTTCAGCTGTCTCAAAGAAAAAGCAATCCTCAAAGTGTCTGTGGGATGTAATCTCTCTCAGGTTTTGTAACACAACTTTATCTAGTTATACCTGACTCGTTCTGTGTTCCTAAAGGGAAAGTTAAACCAGATTATTCTACCTGACCTTGGACAAGGGATAGAGGGACAGGACACAGGGAATGACATTCCACTGCCAGAGGGCAGGGATAGATGACGTATTGGGAAGGAGTTGTTTCCTGTGAGGGTGGAGGGGCACAGAGTGCCCAGAAAAGCTGTGGCTGCCCCTGGATCCCTGGAAGTGTCCAAGGCCAGGCTTGGAGCAACCTGGGGTAGTGGAAGTTGTCCCTGCCCTGCCAGTTGTCCCTGGCAGGAATGAGATGTCCTTCAAGGTACCTTCCAATCTATTCCATGATTCTATGAAAAGGAAAATGACCAAAAAATATTCCCATGTGCTGCAGTGAGTTCACTGCATGTTCTCTTTCTAAATGAAGTGCATGAGATGTGATTTACAAGTGCCAGCACTTTGCTGCTACCCTGACTTTGGGCAGCACTGAGCATGCTTTTATTACATTCATGTATTGTCCAAGACAGCCATAACTGGTGCTCACTAAATAAATTTGCTTGAGAAATTTATACAGGGTTTGAAAGTTTAATGCAACTGCCAAAAGATTTTGGAGTGCTGGGAGAATTAATCTTACTACTCATTACATTTATTGATTCCAATCAAGCTTCCAGACATCAGCATAGGTGCCACTGCTAAGAAATAAAATGTTTCCAGGAAATCTCTATGTAAATCTAAAGTGACTGCCAGCTTTGGGGAAGGGAAAAATGCTAAGGAAGAGGTGTGTAAGCTACATGCCAGAAAATGTTAGACTAATAGGTTATCAGCCACCAGTTGAGCTTTTATAACCAGCTCAAGATGAGACTTCAGCCCTCAAGCCTGCAAAAGGGCCAATATTCATAACAGTGTTTTCTCTTTCAACACCCTGTGAGTTCAATTAGGGATGAAAAGCAAAAAGGCTCTTCCACACATAAAGGTTGGGTTTTTTTCCTTTTCTTTTTTAATTAGAAGCTAAATCTAGTTGAAGGTAGAAGCTGAGCAGCCATGTGATCATTCTATACTAAATAAATAGAAAAGATAACTTTGCTGCTATGTCTGCCTGCAAGAACAAGTGGAAGCTTTTCATTTGAGGATGGAAGAAAACACTGACTGTGAGTTTTGGAAATAATTTACCACATTTGCTTGAGTAAACCTGAGAGAAAAAGAGCATTTGTGAAGGGATGAAAAATAGTGACACAAGTTTTTTGTTTTCTACAGCTCCTACTCCAGCCCTCCCCTAGGACTGGAATGCAAACCACAGCTAATGCTGACGGAACACCACAATCCAACCCGCACTTGAAAGAGTTTGATTGAGTACAGCATGAGAAAAACATTTTGTTTACGTGATTTAAAACTGATTTTAACGTAAATGCTTTTCACTTTTTATTTTTGTGTGTGGGATACATTATAGAAGGCTACATTGGAAAATACTTGGGAGAATAATTACTCCAGAAGTTTGCTGCAACTATGAGTTTCTAAAGTACCATTTTTACTTGTAGTGGTTGCAATAAATAAGAGCAGTACTGAAAACAGGCCCATGTAAAAGACCTTTCTGGATCTGCTGTGAGGTAACAATTTCTGAATTGGTTGGGATGGCTCATAGTATAATAGAATAAATATTTTAAAACTTTCCTATTTCTGAGCATTTTGCTTTCAATTTAAATTTATAAGAGAACAACACCTGCAATGCTAAATAGAAAAATGTCAATAACTTGTCAGAATTCCTTGATATTTGCCATTTTACACAAATATGACCTAGATGTGGTTTAATCCTAGTTAGGCCTACAAAATTAAGTATAAACTATAAATAATGATCAGCCTGTTCAGTTTGAATTTTCTGTTTTTCTGTGTCATCATTTGACTTTGTAAATGAGGGTGATTTTGGGACATGCTCTTAAACAGCAACATAAAAAGTAGCTTAAAACTTCCTGTCTAGGTTGATTGTAAACCTGTTGTCTCCACAAAAAAAAAAGGAATCTTCTGCCTAGATAACACCTAACATAGCACAGGAACCTATCAAGTAACAGGATCAACCTGTGGAATTTTTTGGGCAAGTTTTCATTAGCTGATGATGCTGGGAAGGTTTTGCTGCTCCACTCCTGACACAAATGAGAGTTTACTGCTGACAGATTGTCTGACTACCACTTGTAACTGAAAGCACAGGTACAACCCTAAAAACCTCACGGCAGTTTTATTCTCTATTAACTCAACTTCACCAGGCCCATGGGACCCGCACTGGCAGAGGGAGTATCAGCTAGGAGAGAATGTGCTAAAACACAACATATATGTTAAAAACAAACAAACTAACAACCCCCCAGAAATAAACTATTTTAATGTTGCCTTTTGTATATATTTGGAGATCTCACTGAGAATCACCAGCACAAATGTTAATTAACCAGGCTGGCTGACAAAGGAAACAGATGTGAGTACAGTAATCTTATGCACTGGATATAATTACATCAAGTTTTAGGTGATGACACAAAAGGTCAGGTTGTACTCCCGAGATGATGAAGAATACAAACTGCAAATCTATTGCAACATTTAATAAACCCCATTCCCCGCAGGGCAGGAATCCTTTCAGGCAGCTGTGTGATGAGCAAATACTTAAATGTCACACCTGGAAAATCACCCAACATGTGTCTCCCACATCAGATGCTTCCCATTTAAAACCCAACAAGAGCAGCTCTGTTTCTGATGCATGGAAGACAATTCACACTCTCTTTCTAATTGTCACTAATTGCCAGCTACAATTTTATACACAGTTTCAACCCTGAAAAGGATGCTTTCCATCAGCTGCAAACAGATAACAAAAGACTGGAAGGGAACATCACTCTCATGTGTTTGGATATCCCCTGCAAACGTTAGTCAAAAATGTTTTATCCAGGCCCATGGTAGCATTCCTTGAATTCTACAGAATTGTGATTTAAAAACATTGAATAATGTGGTAACTGATCTCATCTTCAAGCTACTTTTGAAAACTTCATTCTTACTCTCCATTTCCATTCTGTATTTATATGATTTCAGCCTCCTACAAGGATGTTGTCCCGCTCCTGTCTGTCACTCCAGTCTGCCTCCAGTATTCAAGCATTACATTCAATCTCTACACCTCTAACCTGTCAAGTAAGAGTCAGCTTTTTTGAAATTTTTATTCCCAGGATATTTGATCACCAGAACCAACCTAAAATTAAACATTAGGTAAACTTACTAAACTCAAGCAAATTAACACATGCAGTTCCACGGTTAATTTTAATAAAGATACATATTAGAAACAATTCACAAGGTTGAGCATCAGGAGGAATTCTTTCCTGGAAAGAGTAGTCAGGAATTGGAAGGGGGGACATTGGTGAAGTTCTCATTTCTGGAGGTATCCAAGGAAGGCCTGGATGTGGTACTCAGTGCTCTGGGCTGGGGATAAGGTGGGCATCAGGCATAGCTTGGACTCCATGGGCTTGGAGAGCTTTTTCAGCTTCAGTGATTCTCAGATTGTTTTCTTTATTAATAAAGTGTATTCCCTGCATCTAACAGTACCCCAAAAATTAAATTTTTAAAAGTCCCTTACCTTTCAACCCTTGGTGTGTGTGGCTTCCAATAAAACCTTCAGCTGACTGCACTTTATCCCTTGTTCTCCTCTGGGCACTTCCACAGCTCCCCCAGCCTTGCTTGTCAGCTGGACCTTATTCCATGGCCATGCAGAAGCATCCGGGGCATTATCCCAGAGAAGCTCACTTGTCCTCCCCCTGCACTCGCTCAGCAGGCTCCTCGTGGTGCTGCAGGCAGTGAGAAGCCCATGCTCTGAGGAAGAGAAAGCCAGGATAAGAGAGGATACAACTCAGAAGGCACAACCAGACCTGGAATGTGACACATTTGGGAGGATTGGGACAGAGAAGATGCTCTGCAAAGAATGATCCCAAGGGAAGTGCCTTCCAAAACATCTGTGGCTCTTAAGATCAAAGAAAGGACTTGGCCCTTCTTCACCCCTTGCCTCTTTCTAGGTATTTTAGACTGTCAATAATCAACTACAAAAAATCCCAGAGTGGTTTGGGTTCAAACCAATTCCCTAAACCATCCCCAGAATCGTTTAGGTTGGAAGGGACCTTGAAGATCATCTTGTTCCAAACCCTCCTGCAATATTTCCTAGAAGAGTCCTGCTCAGTGCACTGTTCCTCAGATGGGAAAAAAAAGCCCCATAACTCATACTACTCTTCATTAATTACAGCTTAAAACTTTATTTGCCTCCAGCAATCCCAAGTGATCTTAAAGAGAGGTTCAAGAGCATTCACCAGAATGCAGAAAACACAACAGGAATGTTTCTTGCCTGTTCTCGTCAGGACAAAGGGTCACTTTAAATAAAGAACATTTTGTGAAAAGATTGCAAAAATACTAAGGAAAATATAAGGTGCAAGGCTTATTTTTCAAATGAAAAGGCCAGTAAGATGTGAAAATTGCAAGCTTAAATTTCTTTAAAACGTCAGAAAATCTACCATTTCACAACAGTAATAGGTTCTAGGAAAAACTAAGTGAAACCCACTGGAATGAGTTTTTAATATCCAATTAATGGGCAGATGATGATTTGCATGGAGCCACAGCACCAGCCTAAGGAGCTGCAGCAGGCACAGGAGCCTCAAGCTGAGCAGCAGAGTTGAAGCTGCTGCACCAACAAAGGTGGAAGCAGAGGATGATCTGAACCAAAAGCTCTTATCTTCAAATCACTTTTTCTTCATTAAAAAAAAAATCTATTAGAAACACTTTTCATAGATAGATAAGATAAATTTGGTCCAAATTGCGAGAAAAAATTGTGTGCAATGCCATGGAAGAAACCTTGGGAACACAACCAATAGAATGAGTTTGGCTGGTAAGAAAGCAGGGCAAAACAGTGGAAATCCTTTAACACAGGAAATAATGGCTGAAACAAATCTTCATCTTCCAAATTAGAGCCACAAATACTCTAAAACTGCTATAAATGTTCTGGAGTTAATAAAGAATAACTTCTTTAATTCTTGTCATGGATGAGTAGAGATGGTTGTGTAAGGAGCTGGTGTTGAAGAATAATAGTCTCCTTGGATATGAAGGAATTTGGAGCCATTGACAACACACAACATCCCTCAGCCATGGGTCACATGCTTCAAATTATAGTACTCATGAAACTGAGCAACACTTCAGGAGAAAGCTAATCCTGCTCCAAGGTAGGAAATGCTCCTTCTGGTTTTCAGCAGTACAAACCAGAACTTTTCTAAAGCTTCTGAAACAAAGTTACCCACAAAAAGCACATGTAAGAAGTGAAGGTGTTGGAAACATCAGTTTTGGAGTTACTGAGGCAGAATTAATTCACCTCTGATGCACAGATTTATCATGAAACCATCTGGAATCACTTCTTTGCTCCACAAGGCTCCTGCTTTAGGCTCAACACCAAAGGGCGAAAAATAAAGTAAATGGTACAGTGAGAACTTCTGAATGCTTGGATTCCTAACTTCTGAAAAGAATTATTTGATTACAGCCTTTGTACAGAATACACACATGCACACAAAGACATGGATCACCTTGGTGTCAAAGGCTGTGCAGCTCAAAGAGAAAGATTCCACCTCAAAACAAAGGCTGGCTCTCCAAGACTTGCTTTCTATTACAAATATTCCCCACTCTCCTCCTCTGGTGACAAAGAGAAAACAGCACCAATTGCACAGAAGCTGCTCTCAGACAAGTGACATTTAGCCCAGTGTTCCTCCTGTCGCTGGCAATCTTCCCCCGCTCCAGTCTGCTCATATTAAAAAAGATTTCAGAGGTGAGCAAGAGCTCCTCAGTATATGTCAAGGACTGGGGGAGAAAACTAGCATTAGGGAGGAAAATCCATTAGAAAAATTACAAGCAAGATAAAATCAACCATGAATCTCACATTGCAGGACTACCAAGTTGCCTATTAAATTGCATGTAAAGAGAAAAATAAATGAAAGGTGTGAAATTAGGAGAAGCAGAAACCTAGCCACTACTGAAGTACCTGAAAATCTCCTGTAATTCAAATAATGTATTTTTTAAAAAACGGAGAAATTCAATTATATTTCCAGGCATTTTCTCTATCAAATCTACATGTGAACATACCTTTCCTCTGTTTTCCAGAACAGTGAGTGTGTACCTAATGCATGTAGGAAGAAAGAGAGCCTCTAATATTAAGGCATCTGTTCCGAAAACTTCTCTTCTTCTGTGTTTTCACCTACCAGACTTCCCTGTATGATCCATCTTTCCCTCTCCTTCAAGGTTTTCCTTCAAGGGTTTGGGTTCAGCAAGGAAGTGGTCAAGAAAATCCCTGAATAGTTATCTCAGAGCAAGAAATTTGGGCAGGAGATAAAAGATTAAGCAGCCTGCGAAGTGCAGAGGTTCAAAAGTCTCAGGTGCTCAACTAAATCCAGAGGTGTGATCTTAATTAAACCATCAAATTGCTTTATGATTCAGAATCAAAGTACAGCATGTCCCATCCTCTCCTATTTCAATCAAATACATGTCCAGGACATAAAGGGCTCCAGTTAATTAAGAAGGATTGCTGAAATAATGTAAAGCATCAGAAAAAACTCAGAGGTAAGGTCATTCATCTTAAAAGGGAGAATAAAAAATTAACAATATCACTTTGCAGTACTCGAGGGAAAAAATTCGAATTATGCCCATTCTTAACTTAAAATAGTTTGCACTTGAAACTTTGCAGACTGGGGTTCCCAAATGGGATATACATGTGCTTTGGACACCTGTAAATACAGCAAAGAACGTTGCACTATGTGCCTGTTCATTAACATTTATGAACATATTAATTAGAGCAATTCTTAATTGTGCTCACAGTACAAAAGCACTGAATACATTTAAAAGCGACTGAAACCACATTAAAAGTCTCAAATTTAAGGGTGGGAGTTACCAAGGTTCAAAGAACAGAAGTGATCAAAACAACTGGCTAAAAATATTCAAAATTAACCAATCCAAATATCAGAAGTTATTTTTCCTATACAAAGTTGACTGTATTAACAAAGGTGCTTCTTATGAGAAGGCATACAATAATTTGAGTAATTTTAAAGTAAAAGGTTAATGGATATAAATTACAAAAACAACCTTTCACTGTTAGAGACAAATAATCTCATTAAGCATGGTGACATTCTGGGATTCAGTTATAACAGAACTGCACCAATCAGTACTTCAGTAGCTTCTAATTGATTTGTTTTCTGAGCCATTATCAACTGTATGAAAGAGTGAAAGTTTCCCAACGCCAATGAATGAACCTCATTTCAGGAGGAAACCAGGCATGTTTTCAGATCAAGGAAACAGAGCCTTGTGAAGAGATTCCCTGAGATCAGAGCAAACCATTTTGTCCTGCTCAGAAATTATGTGTGGACATGACCAGGAGCAGACCCTGGTGATGGGATCCAAACCCAAATAAAGAGTGGCAGCTGCATGGGAAGAAACCCTCTCCAGGAGGGATTTTCTGACAGTCAGTTCCTACATCTCCTCTTTGTTTTCCTCTCCAAGCCTATGTTCTGGCATGAAATCTCCCTCCCAGAGTGCTGCTGGCATCTCATCACTGATACATCTGCTTCAAGCCAAGGCTTTCTTCATCTTAATATAAAGACATTCATTAGCAGAAAAATGCCATATTATCTGTTTGTCCTCAGAGGTCACCAAGCCAGAGGTCACCTCAGTGGCAACCAAACCCCAATATTTTATTTCTTATTTAACTGATTCCATTTATAAAAACTCCAGATTCCAGGTTCTCCTAACTGTCATGCATTCTTTCTTTGCTGCACCACAGACCCCCCAAAACCAGAAAAATTAATATATCTATTTGATTAATGCTTGACTTACAGCACCAGTCAGTGCAACTACAAAAATACTTCATTTTTACAACTAAATGTAGCAGTACTTATATTTTCAGTTGCCACAACTAAAACAATTTGCTTGATTTTGAATATTTTGAAATAATCTGGTTAATAATTGCCCAAATGGAGATGATGGTAAGCTGGGGGTTAGACAAATCTGCTACAATATTTCTCCCATTTTAACTCCAAGCTAGGCCTGAGTTTTGTAACTAAAGCTGTGATCTTCTCCCTGGGAGCAGAATCCTGTTCATATACATAGGAATTGTTTTCCTAATCTTCACATTTCTTAAAAGAAACCCTACTGGCAAAAATTTCACCTGGAAATTTCTGGAATTCCTCAGAGCACATCATACATTATGAAACTCTACATGTGAGGAAATGGTTCAATTCTGGCCCCACCAGAAATTTGAATGCCGGGCCTATACTTTAAGCTTTTCAAAATATATGTGAATACCCTGTGTCTGGTTAAAGGGATCTGTCACAGTCTTGTCCTTCACGTAATCCCAGATGTGTTTGGGTTGGAGAGACCTTAAAGCCCATCCATTCCCACCCCCTGCCATAGGCAGGGACACCTTCCACTATCCCAGGTTGCTCCAAGCCCCGTTCTCCTGGACACTTCCAGGGATCCAGGGACAGCCACAGCTTCTCTGGGCACCCTGTGCCAGGGCCTGCCCACCCTCACAGGGAAGAGCAGAAAATGCAGTTCCAAAATCAAGACAGTCATAGTATTTGAATGTTTCATGGCAATGGTTTTGCTCTAGACTGGTGCTGTACAATTTAGAAAGAACCAATTCCAGTCAGCCTATGAAGTTATTTAAGGCAGGGACAAAGGATTTTCAGATGCACCTGGTTTCAAATACCTTCTACATCTGAACAGACGCTGGTATTTTAATTTAAATCCATTACACAACATCTGTTTTATGCTTTACAAATTTCACATTTTTCCTT